TAACTTTGTACTCATCCTTAGTAGTGAACACTTTTCTATCTATGTAGTTTCTCCTTTAATTCCACAACATTGTAAAGTTTTTGATTTAACCAAGATGATCTTTTACTACATTTCCTGTCATTCCTTTACACGGAGATGGTTTGTGCTTTTTCCCTTAATACTGTTTCTTTAACAGTTGTCTAAACCTTGTAAACCACTCTCTCTCTCAAATTTGCTTCTCATTGGCTGCACCTACACAAGAAGTTTACTATGCAGTAGCTCATTACTACTGCAAAGTAGCTCGTTACTACTGTGGAGTAGTGTTGTGGGGCGTGAACCATGATGCAAAGCTACTGCACAGTCAACATCACCAGGAGGCCGTGCAGGGACACTACTGTGCAGTAATGCTGGTCACTACACAGTCGTCTAGTACTTGGGTATATAAGTTCTAAATGACTGCACAGTAACAAAAATGCAGTCAGTGACTCAGGTAGACACAGCCTCTGGGTGCATCTACATATACAATTAATGTGACTGAATAAACTCTGGTGCAATTTAAGCCAGAGTAAACTAATACCTACATCATCACTTACATGTGTGTTTAAGCACAGTATTTACTCTGCCATTGGATACTACCTGTGTCTGATGGGACTGTCCAATGGCACTGTAAGTTAGTCTACACCAGCCCAATTGCCATGTACGTGTAGACAGTGATGCTTTTCTGTGCAGTAAATTAGTCTACTGAGCAGTAAAGAGCATGTGTAGATGCACCCATTGCCTACCAAATTTAGAGTTTATTGAAGTCATCTTTCTGGAATTTGTCTTTATTGTGTTCTTTCCTCCCCCAAATTAGAAACTCTATCATTGTATGATTGATGTCATTCAAGTTGCATTTCACGTTCCCTTACTCAAGCAGTTTCTCCGTATTGGTCAGAATCAAATATAGAAAAGCCTTTGTCCTCAGCTTCTTCATCAAGAACTTGTCCACAGAACAGTCTAAAAACATTTAGATAGTCTGTAATGAAGCCTGGCCCCATTACTGTAGGGAGGAGTGCATCAAAGTCACTGAAAGTGTCCCTGGCTGCAGGCAATTGGAAGCCTGGCCAACCAGGCAGGACAGAAGGGCCCCCACAAGCATGGGGCTTAAGAGCATCCAAGCATGGCTTCAGGGGACCTCTGGGGTGAGGAGCAGGCAGCCACTGTCACAGATGTGAAGATGGCATGATCCCTAGGTAGACTTTCCTTCACCCAACAGAACCCCTGCTGCTAGCCTGTGCCCAAATCAGGGCTGCTAGGGGCACCAGGACCACAATGAAGGAATCAAACAGTGGAGACCACATTGGCCAGTGCAAAGATAAGTACAGCTTTTTATTATTATTATTATTATTATTATTGTTGTTGTTGTTGTTGTTGTTGTTGTTGATTTGTGTTAACTGTTATGGATTGTAGTCAGGGAGCCCAGGGCCTGGGAAAAGCCTGTAATACAGGAGCAAGTCTCAGGCTGGCTGCCCAGGGAGGCCAGGGTCCTGCCCTGTGAATCTTCAGCCAACTCTTGGCAACTAGAGTAAAAAGGGACAGAGTGTAGTAGTACACGCCACCCAACACACCCAGCAATGCCCCTTCAGGGTCGCAGCTACCTGGGTGGTTCAAATAGTCCTTGTCTAACTATTACTTTTCCAACATGAATGTGATTACTTAAAGCCTCCCTGCCATAGCAGTTGCCAGAAGAAGCCTCATATATGCTATCTTTCTGGTTTTGTGGTGATAGTTATGCTCTTCTCTCCTTTTTTTTTTACCCAGAGACTTCCAGTGGCTCTATATCCTGCAACACTGGACCTCAGAGCAACGAAACGTATCCTTGGTACACCAAGCAGCACCTCCTCCATTAGGTTCTCCTGCCTTTTCTTTCTGAATAAGCTGTATGCTTCCATATCAGTAATATATTCATAGGAATTATGCCACCAAATCTTTATTATTTATGTCAATTGAGTCATAGATTTGATTATGTATTAATACTTGCAGTTCTTTCTGTTTACCACACTTTGTACAGGCATCTATGAAGTTCAGGAGATTGACTCACTGTTTTCCTTGTGCATTGTGATTACCCACATCAAACTAGGTTTCAGGGCTTTGTCCAGATCAGTGAAATTAATACTGACTTATGAGATTCTGTCAGTGCTCCTTGTTGAACCTATTTAAAGTCATCAACAAATAAAAAAAGGCTGTCACCAAAGGTGCTCTAGCACATTTTTAGTGGAGGGTCCCATCCCTGCGCAACAATTTCCTTTCTCAGAATATCATTTGTGTAGCCTTAAGAACACATAGTTTAATTAAGAAATATTTGAAGTAGGGGTGTATTATACCCCTTTTTGTAATGTAGCCAAATTGAGGAAGGGAGGGTAGAAAACTTGCATGATGAATTGGTGACAATACTTAGAAGAAATGCTAGTTATCCTGATTCTCAATGTTCCTAGGCACTTCCAATTTTTAATTTAATTTTTATTTAATTAATTGTTTTATTATGTGTTTTTGTAGTTAGATATTGAGCAGATATTGTGTACTCTGGAGGATAATATTTGGATTGATGTAGATTACCTGAATAGTTACAGATAATTGCATGAAATTAAATCAGCTCACCATACTATCTTTAATGTTCATATTTTTTTTCTTTTTATTGAGGCATGTATTTCATTAACTAGTACGAGCATTTCATTATGTAATGCTTATGATGTCAACACTGTCTGTGATGATCCTGTTCCCAAATGCACTTGAATTATATTCTTAACAACTCTCAAAATCTAACTAGAAAAATACTTATTAAACCTGTTTTTCATTTGTACTTGTTGTAACTCTACATATTGTGAAGAAAATTATTTTCTAGTGCAAGGAATATCCCTGGGTATTACCATGGCTTCATTGTGCTTTAAGTATCTGCAATAATAAAGAAAATGACTGAAAAATAATTGAAAATTAATTTATTACGTTTCATCCCAAATACCTCGTGTTTTACATTACACAGAGAAATTTTAAAAGTCTCTTATGGTATTCATAAAATATCTGTGCTAAAAAGTCAGAACAATTTCCTTCGCTTACATTTTTGAGTGACTCTAAACTATAGCAAGTTTTAAAAATAACATCTTTAATGTAAACTTTTTTCAATAAAAAGTTCTACTGAAAAGTGACATCCGTTTTCTTTCTGAAATCCTGTCTTACGGACATTTGTGATTAATACCTACATATCACCAAATGAATATGTAATTTATCTTTATTTTTTTTCTTTCCCAAAAGCACAATTCAGATCTCCCAGAATCCAGAGTCTCATTGTATTTCATTCAACAAAAGTTATGGATTTGCTCCTGTAATAGCTCCTTGCTTCATCTCTTATGGTAAAGGATGAATGGTTTAGATCTGGGCTGTCTAGCTTCACAGTGGCTAGAGACTGCACACTCTACAGGTTACACCAGCATGAGCCACAGTCCCCCCAGAACATGTGTGCTCTGGCCCCTACCCTCAGCTCCTTGGCCGCAGGCTCCTCTGCTGCACTGCACTGCAGCCTTCCCTGTCACAGGCTGTGCTCCCATAATGCACCCTGAGGTTGGAGCAGGAAGGAAAAGCCAGAAGAGGGAGAGGAGGCCAGAGATCCCATCATTCTGCAGCCAGAATGATGGCAGGAATGATGCCTAGATTGGAGCCCCTCAAATTAATTCTTTGGGTGCTGCATACCAGTTGGACACCCCTGATTTTGATATAGTTTCCAACTGGAGGAATTCAGTAAGGTAGTATTAAAACAATTTGGTATGGTCCAATTCATGAGAAATATGCTTCTCATTACTCAGTATCAGTGATTCCCCTCTAATCTACTTTATTTTTCATCTCGGGAGTAAGGGAAGGATACTGAACAGTGCTTCTGGTTTAACTGTGAGACAAATCAATTCAGGAAAGGTGAAGTGACCCAGGAAAACCTGGTTTTTCAGAGACTAACTCTGCAGAAGAAGCCTACTTATCCCTGGCAACACAGTACTCCAGTGAAAAGTAAACTGAGGCAGGGAAATTATTATATAGGTATTATTGTTTTTGTCTAGAGTTGGCATTTTTATGCTGCTAAGTAAAAAACAACAGTGATCTAGAATTTTATTTGTCTATGGGTGTGGGGATACATATTATGTGTGTCACGTGTCACCTGCCTAAAAAGAAAACTATAAATCAAAAAGTTCACATCTTCGCTGGGAATACGAGAAATATATATGAACCTACTGGAGAGACTTGAGAAAACCAGAATTAGTTCTGGGGAACGGAACTGAACTGCAAACACTGAATGTAAATGGCATAGTGTGAAGCTGTAACTTAGACAACACCAGGATCTGAAGTTTCATCTTTACGAGGCCTACAGAAGGAAAGACCTTTCCTCTACAGTTTAGAAGCTGCCCTGATAGCTGTTAGGATGCATCAACATTTTACAAAGTTTATAAGACTCCTACCTCAAGTCCTTTATAACTTGAATGAGGTTCAAAGCTAAATGTTGATCTGTGTATTGCTTGAGATTTTATTTTATTTTTTGGTTTTTGGTTTACTTCTACCTGGAGGATGGTGATAGGCACCAACTAACCTATTGAAAGTTCTAATATGTAATCGTAATCATACTAGTGGATATTTGTATTTTATGTCAAACATAATGCTAACTCTGGCAATCCACTGCTTTGCTGATAAAACCCTCCCTGAGAGTAATGTCTAAGCCTTAGCTCAAGTGAAACATAGAACTTTGTGAGTGATGTGTGATGAGTAAGAAATGTACAAGTTGTTCAAGCATGACCCCAGTCTTCTGATTTGTCTAACTTATACAGTGAGAACACTATCTTGTCATACAGCAGAGCCTGAAGTAACATTTCCAGATGGGTAACAGCAAAAGGCAACTTCTCTCGAGACACTTTATTCAGCTACTGTTTGTTTATGTTATTGAACATTTTTGTCTTGTTACTGATATTTGCACTGGAGTATGTTAAAGGATGCTGCAGAGCAAGCTGGTATCCATGACTGCATATTAATATTAGAAAGCCAGTTACCTTTCCTATAAACAGTGTCAGGGGTTAACAGCATCGATAAAATCTGATGGGGCAGACTAATAGTAAAAATGCTTTGCCAGTACCTATCTTGTGTATCACAGTTCATTTGCTACTTCTGACTGCGTTTAGTTTCTCAGTGACCATTATCTAAGCCCAGCGGTTGGCAAGGTTTTGGGACCATAGGTAAGATCAGCTCAGAAAGTGCAAAGACCTGCCTTTCCCTTAGCATGGCCACAGCACACATAGACATTCCCTAGCTTAGCTGTGGCATAGCACAGTGTGCTCAAGCCCCACTACCAGTCAGCCACAGCGTGAGCAAAGTCCCCCAGGTCTTCAGGCCAGGTGTGGCCCATGGGTCATATATTACAGGCTATTGTCTTAACCATGAAGAGATTATTTTTGTTATGGGCAATCAACTGAAACATTTACATACTTACATACATTTTCCTCTGGATCTACAGCCCTTATTGTAGTTATTTTGAAAATAACTAGAAAACCACAGATACTAAACTTATGCTAAGGTATTATTTTAATAATATAGCCACAGCTAAGCTAGGGACAAATAAAACTGGAACATTTTGGAAGTAAAACATATCAATCCTATTAATAATTGAGGAGATGACATACAATCTTAATATATACTAACTACAAAGGAAAGACATGGCAGCTGCAGAGCAGTTTGCTATCATGTTTGTGTTCATATTTTATTATTTATTTCAGCTAGGACCCCTCTACACATGCAGGTAAAGGTGTGATTGGAGCTAATGCATGATCCACACAGCTGCAACTCCTGCCATGCCACACACGCATGGCAGGAGGTGCAGTTGTGGGATCATGCATTAGATCCCAACATGCCTTATCATCTGGGCAGGGGAAACCTAGGATCATGATCCCAGGCTTCCCCTGAACTGGCTTCCATGACTGTGAGCCCCATAGCTGGCAAGGCTTGGTGGAGCTTGTAGATGGGCAGCATTCGCTGCACTGCCCCATTGCAAACCCAAGAATGCAGCCCCTGCTGTGAACCTCATTGGTTGTGGGGCTCCCAACGGGGGCTGTAAGGCTCACAGTGGAGAGAACGCTGCTACGCTGCTCACTAACTGTGAGCCTCTTGAGGTATGGGGCTTGTAGCAGCAGCAGCATTCCCCACACTGTGAACCCCGCAGCCCTTGTTGGAATAACTTTGCAATCTATTGCTTGTTTTATCATGCCATTAATTGGTTGAATGTGTAGTTGAGTCACAAGGTTTACCTGGTTAATCATGCCTTAAGTGCAATGTGTAGAGGGGGCCTCAGGGATCAATTGTGACTTTTTCTTTGAGAACCTGAAAGTTGCAATCTAATTCTGGGCTAACTTCAACAGGGTCATTGGTTGGTACAGATTATTGATTGATAGTTTGTATCAATCCTGCACCATACCTGTGTATATTCTCTTTACAGGGCTCTACCCATTCACTGCCTGTTGGTCCAGAAAGGACAGCTACATCCCTGAAGGGACTCTTGTTCTGACTGCACTGCTATTTTTGCTTCATGTAGTGGGCCATTCAGGAGGGGAAGGGAACTCTTACACCTCTTTGCATGACTCCAAGGCAAAGACAGAAATTATCTCTTAGAAAATGTTGTCAATGTTGATCCCTCTACATGTACAGGTAAAGGCATGATTGGATCTGATACACAATCATGCCTCCTGCCACACATGCATGGCAGGAGGCATGATTGTGGGACTGTGAATCAGATCTCATAACACCTTATTGCTAGTTCAAGAGAATCCTGTTTCCCAGCTCCCCCTGCACCAGGAAGAAGCAAACTCCCATGGCTGGGAGCCCGGGTCAGTCGATGGGTCTCCCAAACATGGAGGCATACCAAGTGCTCTTGCAGTTCAGAGCCTCATCAGCTGACCTGGGCTCCCAACTGCAGGGGTGCTGCAGGGGTCCCTACTGCAGGGAATCTGCAACTGATTCTGCTATGGCTGGGATGCTGCATCAACTATGGTCTTGCAGCTGCAGGGGTGCCTGGAACACCTGTTTAGCTGGGACACTGCATAAGTTTTGGTCTGACAGCTGTGAGGCTATATGGGGCACCCCCACAGCTGGAAGCCCTGTCAGCTGATGGAGCCCCTGCCACAGGAGCATGTGCCCCCACAGCTGGGAGCCAGCATTAGTTGGGAGCTCCAATCAGCTGATAGGGCTCCCAGCCACAGAGGCCCCTGGCCATACATTCAATTAATGGCATGATAGGAAGCAGCTACAAAGTTATTACATATGTTTAATGGAATAAATTTATAGCTTATTCCTCTTTTATCATGCCATTAACTGATTGAACATGTGGCTAGGTGACCACTTAAAATGTAATTAACTGGTTAATCATGCCTTAAGTGTAACATGTAAATGGGCCTATCTTTCTGGCTACATTAACTTAAAATGAGAAAACAGGCATGTAACAGGGCTCCCTATATGCTTCATTACAAGGAGGAAAGGGAAGGGCCCTTTAAGAGGGATGAAACAGACAGGGAGGTCCTGCCATGAGAGGGATATAAAGTAAAGACATCAGTAGTATGGGACAGAAGTACTCCAGCAATGGAGGAGAACATCACTCCTGTCAGAGAAGCCCAGACCAGATAACAGGGAGTGACTCACTGCTGACAGTGAGTAGGCTTGGAGAAAACTGAGTAAGACACAAGAAGGCAACAATGAAGTCTAGAAGAATTAAAAGAAGGTTTAGGAGAAGGCCAGATTGGGGAAGGAGCTGGCAGAGACTAAGGGAATAAAATGGATGGGAAGGGGACCAACAAGAATGGGTAACAAATGATAATGGATGTTGCAAAGGGGAGGCCTAGTTGTAGGAGACTGAGCTCCAGGGTACCTACACATGTGCCCAATGCCTTCACTGATGCATCCTAGTTAGTATGCATCTGGACAAAATCAGTTTCATAGATTTCCATAGACATCAGGGACCTCAGAAGATCATCGAGTCCAGCCCCCTGCCCCAGGGGCAGGAAGTCAGCTGGGGTCACAGGATCCCAGCAAGATAAGTATCCAAATGT